TTGTCTGGCCAGAGGAGAACTGGCCCCCCGACTGAGCCTGGTTTCTCCCACTGATGTCACTGATGGAGTTTTTGGTTCCTTGCCGCTGTCGCCTCTGGCTTGCTTAGTTGGGGACACTTCATTTCCAGCGATATCGTTGACTTGATTGCAAATGATTGCAAAGATACTATTTAAACTGAACTGAGCTGGATGGTGACATCACTGAATTCAATGATGAACTGCCTTTAACTGAAAAATGAGTGTTTACTATTGCCATTTTGCATTATTGACACTATTTTCCTAATTAATGCTGTTCAGTTGCTTTGACACAATTGGTATTGTTAAAAGCGCTATATAAATAAAGATGACTTGACAGTAGCAAGTCTCTGTACTTGCTCTGCCACAGCAGCAGCAGCATAGCAGATCTATTCCACCAAGACCAAACACATTAACATTGCAATGTCTGTTACCATGCTAAACACTCCAAGAGTTGTCATGACAGAAATATTTTGAATGAAAGTCATTTTTGATTACAAAAAGTCCACTAACTGTGCCAATTATGACATGCATGGCATCAGAGTAAACAAAGTTGTAATACAGCCGTTTTGTTTCTACACGCACAATACTTAATACTTAAACAGAGCTTGAGAACAATCAATGACAAATTTTTATTTTCAAATGGGCTTATGGTCTACCCGTCAGGTAATTGGTGAAGGGTGATTACTGAAGTGAGCAGCTAATGAATGACAGCATGTTGAAAATCTCACTGTGTGATGTCAACTGAAACTAATAAACAAACCTGCTACAATAATTGTGTTCATAGACTGTTTCAGAGAGACTCTGTTAACATACCAAACTGCTTTTTGTGTACCTTAATGCAGCTATCATAGCAATAGCTTTCCAAGAAGTCAATAACATACCTGATAATGACTGGCTTTTGCAAGCTCCTGATTGGCTGATTCCACATGTGATGAGGTGGTCTGAATGTAGTCTTCAATGCTGTCTGTAAAGAGAGAAAACAAGCATTGTTATTGTTGTTGTCATCATCGTGTTTTGATGTACAAAATGTTACAATGCGTTCAGGATGTTCTGTCAGACTATTTCCAGATGATTTTCAGCCCATATACATGAAACCTTAAACGTAATGAGAGAATGTGTGACACTCATACACACTCACAAAAAATGAAGATTGTCCAAGCACACAGTGTACCAGAGCACCTTTATAAACATGCCCACTCTCTCATTCATGTTCCCTTTCCCAGGGAGAAAGAGATTAGAGAGCAAAGTGCCCTCAACAGAGCAAAATGTTGATGCTGCCAAAAACTGAAGCTGCACTGCATTTTGTGGTCCCCTACACACCATCATCACAAAAGACCAAGTTGAAAGAGTTCGGCCAAAAATGAAATTTCTGTTATTATTTACTCACCCTCATTTTGTTCCAAACCTACATGCTATTATTTTTTTCTGTAGCAATGCCATACAACAACATAATTCATAGTGATTAGGGACTGTTAAGGGCCAAAATAAACAACATAAAATTATAAAATTAAATTAAAAGGATAAAATATTATTAAAGTAATATAATAAAATTAAAATATAATGATACAATTAATTTAAAAATTAAATATTAATATAAAAATAGACAAATTATTAAATAAACACTTTAATAAAATATCAGTATAATAAATAAATATTTTTTTTAAACTTTCTGAAGACATATGATAACTTTGTTTGGGAAACAGCCCAAGTTTAAGTTGTTATTCACTGAAACCTTGTTTGCGTTCATGACAAGAATTTAAAAAATGCCATTATTTACTCACCCTCATATTGTTCCAAACCTGCATGCTATTATTTATTTATTTATTTATTTTCAGTAGAGATGCCACACAAAAACATTAATAGAAACCATGGACTGTTAAGGGCCAAAACAAGCAATATGATAAAATGATCAAATTAAATATTAATATAGAAATTATAGGATTTATTAAATAATTATCCAATAAATATTAATTTAATAAAAATAAACATTAAAAAAGTAGCCATATTATACTTTTGTGTGGGAAACAGTCCAAATTTAAGTCATTATTCACTGGTAATCTTTTTTCATCTTAAATAATGCATTGCATTCAATTACTACAACAGAACTGAAAACAGAAAATGTTTTGATGTCATATGAAGATGAGCAAATAATGGCAGACTATTAATTTTTAGGTGAATTATAATTATTTGCTCTCCATTAAAATAATTAGTTTTTCATAAACAGGATGCACTTGTGCCCATGGATTATTAAGACTCAATTCTACATTGTTTTGGGAAGCATTTACTGCATTATTGGTCTGTGAAATAATTTTTATTAAAAGAAAGAAAAAAAATCAGTGAAAGTACTTTAAATATATTTTAATGGTTAGACCATTTGTGTATTGGGCAATATCTAGTATAAAAGCATAAACAAATAGTTGTGACATCTCTCACGGTACCAAGAGAAGATTAGCTAATATTCTGTTCAGAAATTCATGACAAAAAGACATTTTCCGCAGAGAATTGTGCTTAGAAACACACATACTGTATGATAATCAGCTAGAAACACACAAAGACTCGGTTATGTCCTTGCTTCCTTAATTCGCAGGAAAGTCAGTCAATTATTAACTTTGAATAATCCAAATGAGTTGTCTTGTTCCAATGCACATGTACTTATACTAGCAAGTGAGAGCATTGATTCAAATGCAAAGTCAATTCCCTTCCCAATTAAAAACAAATGTGCGGTTCACCACACAGGAGAGCAGAACGAAAGCAGAAGCGGGAGAGTTACAGTGGGGTTAAAGCAGGGCAGGCTCAGCTGAGGGGAACACTGTAGACCTCACCTCCGCCTAGCTGGAGGAACTAATGAGGTTTTGTTTATCTTTCTCTGATTTGATTTGGTGCTGGTCTCCGCCGTCACCATGAGATGTGGAAGGGGAGGGTTTGCATGGAAAGAAGCTGGAAACCTGTGTGGGAAAGTGTATTTGTCTATAAGTGTATATTTTCTCTATTTTTTAATCCATCATTCTGTTAAATGGAATTTTAAAGGATTAACAAGAGCTCCAACATGCTATAAACTTGTAATCTTTCATCCCACCTTACTGACTCGGATTCATCTCAACCCCATGTTTCTTTCTATTTCTGGTAACAGCTAAATTGCCCGTTTTAAATGAGCTGGGTGGAGCGCAGTTGCTCTCTGGTATAATTAAACCTGTAGGAGCTGTTGTACCACATCATAGTTTCCCGTTTAGTTCTTGTTATCACAAGCCCGTTCTCAGGTGGAGGTGCCTGATCAACGAGATTCATTGAGTCACAAAAGTGAAAAATAGCAAGAATATGGTCTCGATTGTTTCAGACGGGAACAAACAAACCAAAGTTTACACAAAGCAATATCTGAAAGCGTGCGTGGGCCGCACGATATTCAGAAAACGCTCAGTATCTACTCCAGTGACCAATATAACCTTCCCAGCGTGAACATTTCTTCTGTCTCCATCTGAGACTACTGGCCTGTCATCTACTACCAATATAGGCACAGAGAATCTGGGTGGAAATGAGAAATTGCTGATTTAGAAACACTGAAGGGAGATGAGACATCATACGGAGACTTATCAATCAATATTTCAATAGCGAAACTGAAAAGAAGGCCCTGTGTGCTTGATGAATCATCAGCCATGTCTGCTAAACACACCCCACAGGGCAACCGACCTCTTATTAGTGTCACTTGTGTCAAAAAGACATTCTAAATGGATTTTTATCAAAGCTATTGAGCGACGCTGTTCCAAAAGTCACCTCACTGTTTACGGTCTACAAAAGCAGCTATTTTCTACAGCAGCATCCCAACTGTATAATGGAATGATTTGAAGCGCTTTTCATAGCAACTCTGTAAACTGTCATGGCACAAATGACTTCTCACATGAAGCGCAAAAGAGATTCAGTTGATTTCAATAGAGCTCCATGGTGGCCACCCATTTTTTCAACAGCGTTGGATAAAGAAGGATTCTTCCCAATTCATTTCCTCCGTAGAAATTTTAAAATATTCTGCTAAAAAGAGTGTTAGGCCAGGAACCAAATCAAACAACTCTGAGAGGATAAATATAAAATTACAAATTGGTTTTAAGCAAAGAATACTTGAAAAATCAGACAAAGATACAAGGCCGGACATTTAAATTATTTTAGGGAGAGAATGGTTAATTATGTCCCATAAAGCATTGCAGATTGCAACTGAAATGATATTAAACTATTTACTTATAGTCACTGATTATAAATTATATTTTGTGCAAAATATTAAAATATTTACAAATATTTGATAGTTCAGGGATATGCTGCAATGCTTCATGGGAATGGGCGGTCACTTTGAAGTGCTTTTGGCTTTTTTTTTTTTTATTGGTGTTTTGTTTGAATAATAACAGCAACATCTCTGATTGGCTGCCTCTCTTCTCAAATAAAAAAAAAAAAAAAAAACACATTAAGTGTTTTTAAAAAAAGTTAAAAACACTCCTTTATGGATTCTACAGCACCATATACAATCGCTTAACAAGTCACGGTAGGTTTCCCTAGTGAATATATTTTTAAGCATAAAAATCACATTGTAACGAGAGGGGCGGGGCCGAGAGCCGTGGGAACGGAGCGAGGCCGGTGGAGTAAATGCTAATGCACGACACCTGCGCCACTCACCGGTCTCGAGTCCCACAGAGGAGCTCCGGAAGGATAAAAGGAGGAGTGACGACAGTGTTGGACGAGAGAGGACCAGGCCTGGACTTTATTTTGTGTTTTGTGTGCGGCAGTCGTCCGCGAGGGGCTGCCGCTTTACTTTCATTTTGTGTTTGTTTATTTTATTAAAGTTTTAAATGTTCGCCGGTTCCCGCCTCCTTCTTCCCGATCTATAAACGTTGTTACACACATATACTTCAGTATATCTTTAGTTGGAATTAAGCACTACTTCTGCACAATTAAAGTGCATTAAGCACAACATGAGTTGTTCCAGTTTAGCAGACTTAAAGTATACCAGTTAGTATACCAAAAGTACAATTGCATTTTTTTTTTTTATTATTAATACATACAGTGGGTACGGAAAGTATTCAGACCCCCTTAAATTTTTCACTCTTTGTTATATTGCAGCCATTTGCTAA